CCAGTTTCCTATAGGAGGACAAGAAGCAATCCCTTGAGGGAAAGATGCCACGTCCATCCCTCCTTCTTTAAGAAAAATAGCCCCCAAGCGCGACGGCACAACTATGGGGTACAGCTAACAAATGCATAATCACAGAGATTTGAGAAAGAGCCATGGTTTAACTGTAAATGAAAATTGGTTTACAGTTAACAAATTTTTCTCAGACATATCAACCTTCAACAGATTATTTGGTAACCACTATTATATTTCAAAATCCAGCAAATATAGTTAATATACTCCAACAATTATGTCATACAAAACAGATAACAATGAAATCAAAATGAATTCACCTCTGCTTTGCGTCGATTCTTTGACTTTATTTGTTCTAGTTTCTGACCCATTTTAGGAATCTTATAAGTGTTTGCAGGAACCTTAAACACAACCAAGAAAAAATATAGAGTTAGGAAGCATTTGACAAATAGGGTTCTGAGAGGAAAGACCTGCATGACATATATTTCAATCATTTCCCATGAATGCAACTCTGTGGGTTTGAGCAAGAGAAGTGTAAATAGTTTAATTAACTTTTGGGTTTGTTTTTTTTATAGAAACAAACATATTCAACACTAATTCATCTTAAATTGAGTGAGGTGAAGTCTATTGAGTGTGTGTTTCCAATTAAAAACTCTCCAGCTAACCTGGCAATAGAATATATTTTCAAAAATAAATTTGTGGGGAGGGAGGAGAGAAAAGACTAATATTTTTGCTTACAGAAATAAAAAAAACTTGGACCAAATTACACAGAATTTAGAGTGGTCTTGGGTATCTCTGTCTCTTACTGGATGGAACCACATTAGCCATTCAGTAAAATTCAACGAACTCCAAAATTCATATAACAATGATTTCTTTATAAGGCCAAGTTTAAAAAAAACACAAAATAAAATATACAAGCACCTAACAGTAGTGCAGCAGAGGTAGCTTTAACTCTTGTGGAATGTGCTTTCAAAGTCTCATTAACCAATTGCTATGTCAACTATGTTGTCTGAAAACTCACTTTTTGAAAAGATACCTGGAGAAATATTCAGGAATACCATAACAAACAAAAAATCTATTAGAAGGATGCACACATTGCTGGGAGAGTAGCAATGAAAGTGAGCAGGGTGTAACAGGTGATGACACAGAAGGGTACGTATGATGAAAATCTTTAAACTTCTTCACAATGGAATGTACAAGCAAAGAGGTCAGAGTTAGAGACTGATGTGAAACAACTGCCTTTGGGTATACTTTGATAGACAAGGCATGTCCTAATTGTTTCAAGCATAAAGTACAGGACTTTAGACACTACTGGTAAAAAAAAACAAACACAGTTCAGATCATGAAACTGCACCATTCTTAGTCATATTATTTCCTTATAGTGTCTATACAGAAGGCCAGGAGAACTTCTTGAATTTAAGGAGAAATAATAAAACTATTCACTTCCAGTTCTAATTGAAATCTGTCAATAAATATGGAAAACAAAACAATGACACACAGATTGGAAACACTAAATATATAGATTGCAGTAAACCCCAGACTATTGCATTAATCTCCCATGCAAGTAAAGTGAGGTTCAAATTTCTATAACAACGACTTCTACAGTATATGGAAGTAAGACATGCCAGGTGTGCAGGCTGGATTCAGGAAAGGAAGAAATAGTAGGGATCATAATGTAAATACAGTATACATTACACTAAAGAATTTCAGAAGAAAATTAGCCCATGCTTTACACATTATATAAGATTTTTTTTTATTGTGTTGATCATGAAAACTATGGATTTCTTTTTAAAGAAATGAGTGTGCCATAATATTTAATTATCCTGCTAAAAGGTTTCTATTAGGAGTACAGAATACAGTGAATACAGAGAAAATGAACATTTCCAATTGGCATGGGGATCAAACAAGGCTGCATTTTATCACCCTGATTTAGGCTTTCCCCCCGTGGGATGAGGTAGTGGAGAAGCTGTGATGGTGCAGGGCAACAGGTCCTCACACCCCCTTCCTGTTGCAGCGAGATTGCCCAATTGAACATATCCCGCATAAAGCTGGGTTAGACTTAAGGGAAGGAGGTGTGAAAATTGGATGAAGGAGCATCAACCATTTAAGAGATCCAGATGACTGCTAGCAAAAAATATCAAAGACATTGAACAATTGCTAAGTTAAAGAAGAAAGTTCAAAGAAAGCTTTACAGATGAACATTAAGAAAAAAAGATAATGACCACAGATGATTTTCATATCTTTAAAGTACAGAATAAAATAGAAATAATTAAAGCTTTTTCATACATTGTCTTAATGATGAACCAAAATGGAGCCTGCCATCAAGAAATCAGAAGGCGAAGGACCTTTTCACATGGGCTTATTTTCGGTGGCAGCAACTGGGTTCTTAATTTTGGCCACAGAGCCTGACAGCTCCCATCACATCCAGTACAACAACTCCCGATGCAACTCTGTGGCCAAACTGGAAAAAAAAACCCAGCCACTGCCGAAAATAAGCTGGTGGTGGATGACAGGAGGCTCCCTGTCTTTCCATTAGGAAAGATAGGTCGAGCCAGATTTAGGCTTCCCCCAGTGGGATGAGGTAGTGGAGGAGCTGTGATGGTGCAGGGCAACAGGTTCCCACGCCCCCCTCCTGTTTGGGTGCCACTGGCATGCAGCAAGATTGCCCAATTCCAGCAGCGCATGTGACAAGATGGTACAACATGGAAATATTGCTATGAAGGAACTAGGTTCAATCCTGAATCTATTATTCTATGAAGTATTTCACACGCACATATACATTTCAGAAGAAGAATCTCTACAAAATAATTCCTATCCTATATTTCATAAATTGTTTGTTTATTTATTTATTCATTAGATTTGTAACCTGCCTTTTTCCTGGGATGATATCCACGGTAGCTTCCAAAAGTTTAAAACAGAACTTAATAAAATCTCATTTTATAAAAGTAAAAACAAAAAAGAATTAAATGCATTAAAAAACTTTCAAAAGCCAAGAATTTTCGAAAACAAACAAATACTTACAGGTCTTGTTTTCTCTTGCTGTGGAATTAGCTCAGGAATCAGTATAGCTCGTGGATTAGGTACTGTCAAGTTAAATTCCTGTGGTTTAGTTATCTTTGAAGTTATAGTAGTGTGTTTATCGAATTTATCATCGAGTCCATCAATCATTTGTTGTATTTTTGGCTGCCATCTTTAAGTAAAAAGAATATATATTTTTACTTTCATTTCCGTGCAGTGTCTGTTAATATATTCCTACTCATGTCATACTGATATACTGGGGGTCCTTCTACACAGGCCCTTAAACGCAGAAAAAACTGGGATAAAAGGCGGAGTGACTAAATGACATTTAAGGAAAATGCACAGTGATTTGCATTAACAGCTGAAAAACATGTGTTAAAAAGGCATATGAAACCACTGGCATTTTTTTGTTGTGAAGCAGTGTTGGTATAGTACACAATGATACTTGTGCGGTTTGTTGAAACTTACTTGATTCTGTAACAATGCCAGAATCATGAACTACCATGGCCTTTGCGGCATCTGTGCACACATCAATACAATTGTACCATGGTATCAAGTTTTCAATTAAGAAGGCAACAAGCAGGGGAAAAATTTACTACTGCTTGTTGACATGGAAGTGGCTTGCAATACAAAATATTTTCATAAAAAAAACCTGAAAATTTGTACCGCACAAACACCTTAAACACAGCTAATCTGACATCATCCATAGATTTGTCCAGTTGTAACAAAAATTTTGTTTGACTTATATGGAAATTGTGGCATTTTAAACACTGTTTGATAGATCCTGGATTAGATTACACACAATGTTATTTGATATGAGCACAATAGATATCAAGTTTGAAGAGTTTTTTTCCACCACGCAGTTCACTACCTTCACTAATAGTGGTTTTATAAGAGTTTCAGCAAGGGTGTGAGGTTTACCAGCAAGAGCCAGGTCATGTCTTACAGCTGTTGTTATCCCCCTTTGACTGAGCAGTGGTTGATAGCTAATGACTCTCAGGTCTTATGGAGCCCATCTTAAGCCACAGTTTCATTTCAATGGCAGTTTAGCAGTTAACAATTGGAGGAAGAAGAGGAGGAGGGACGCAACATAGGCTGCTTGATGAAGCCTCTCACAATCACTCGCGGAGCCCCAATGGCTCTGCGGAACACACTTTGGGAACCACTAAACCAGGCATCCTCAAGCTGCGGCCCTCCAGCTGTTTAAGACTCCAACTCTCAGAGGCCCTAGCCAGCTTGTTCAATGCCCCGGAATACTGGGAGTTGGAGGCAAAAATGGCTGGAGGGCCACAGTTTGAGGATGCCTGGTCTAAACCATAGTGCGTTCTTCTCCTGGCAGCGGAATGAAGGAGGTAAGATGTCATATAGATTGTATCAGTCTCACAGCTTCATTATGGATTATGCCACCACCCCAATGGAGGGCTGAGATAGTGAAAACAGTATTGCAAGATGCTCGCTACCACATGAGATATGGTGATCCTTTTCCATGGTGAATCAGGCTCAAAGGACAACAAGAACCAAGCTTGAAGAGGCCTCATCTGTATAAAACTGCCGGGAGGTCTTGGATTGGGTACTGGATGCTACCCCAGTAAGTTCCTGAATCCATGACTTTGTAAAGTCATAGGTGAGCACTCAAAGTACTAGTTACAAGTAAGGACCTCTCCTCCTAAAACCATAATGTGGTGAGTCACAGAAACCACAAAGAAGAATGAATTCATATTAAACAATAGTCTCAATGGTCCAATGGAATTCACAGTAGTGCTTTTAAAAAGTTCAGAACTACATGTCCTAAATTACTAATATATATAATTTATCATGAATATAAATTTCCTTACTAGTAGATGGGCATCGAAGTACAATTAAGACAAAAATACATTGCCAGATATTGCATAGTCATTGGCATAAAATATGACTTTATCTATTTACTTTTAAGGCTTTGCTTTAATATTCCACTTCTTTGTTTCATTCATTCCAGTCACTTTGATTTTACATTTAGAGATGTTACTACTGCTTGTTCTGAGTGTTCTCAGTTAAATGATAACATTCTCCAAGATCCTGGATTGATTTCAACTGCCAAAGGCTGATAGTATCAGCACAGCCAAGTTCTCATTTCATTGCATTATAAAGAACCATAAGAATATACTAAGAAGAACAAGTTAAATCTTAAGAAGCTGGCTACTAGTAGTTCAAAAGCAAGATCTCATTCATGCACAGCCAGGGATGGAAGTCAGGTTCCTTTCTACTCTTGTTGTTGTTTTAAACCAGCAAATGCTTTTGTCTCCACTTACATCCTTCTAGGTAGGCTGATAAATTGCCAAGAAATATAATTCAAAAACAATTTAATATCTGATTTCTGCAATATAGTTGAGGTGTATTTTAGCAAAGAGCTAGATTAAAATCTATTCACATGTGTTCTCATAAAATGCCTCTCAAATGGAGTCCAGCACAGAGCAGATATTTTAATCCACAAGAGACCCCCCCACCCGATATGCTGGACTATACAGTCAAAGCACTCTTAATTGATGGGAGGGTATTCCACTGTTGAACAGTTCTTACCATCAGCAAGTTCTTCCAAATATTTAGGTGGAATCTCTTTTCCTGGAATTTGCATCCATTGTTCTGTGTCCTAGCCTCTGGAGCAGCAAAAAACAAGCTTACTCCGCTTTCAGTATGACATCCTTTTACATATTTAAACACTGCCATTATGTCTACTCTTAACTTTATCTTCTTCAAGCTAAACATACCCAGCTCCCTAATGTGAAGATATAATTGACGCTATAGTGCCAGACTCTGCACCATGAGTAAACAACAATTTTTCAGTACAGCCAACGTTTACCATGTTCCAGCTGTCATGATTTTTATAGATTCATGTGGCAATGTAATGCAAACCTTTCTCAGAAATACTGCATTTGCTTAAGATGCATAAAATTGTACTGATACTTACCTTTGCAATGGTTTGATCCAGTTATTATTTACATAAACAGAATCATACATTTTGTTCCATTCATCTTTTATCCATGTACTCAGATTTATTCTATTGAAAAAGAATCTAAGGAACTGAAAACAAATTATGGAGTAATGAACGTTGGGTAAATACAGAGAAAATGTAGAACGTGCCATTCTTTTAAAAAATATAACATGTACCATAATCAACTGTTGAATAAACAACTGGTCACATTTTATATTTTTATAATTCTATTGAACATAAGTAAAGGTAAAGGATTTCCCCTGATATTAAGTCCAGTTGTGTCAGACTCTGGGTTGTGGTGCTCATCTCCATTTCTAAGCCAAAGACCTGGCGTTGTCCATAGACACCTCTAAAGTCATGTGGCTGGCATGACTACATGGAGTACTGTTACCTTCCCGCCGGAGCGGTACCTATTGATACCATATTATCCATATTACTCCAATACTTTTGAAAAGAGGGTTTCCTACTTTGAGATCTGATTTTGGGCAACCAACTAGTACCACTTTGTTTTTCTTTATCTAGTTTTTGAGCCACAATCATTTGCATCTTAACAATATTCCATATCCTTGGTGTATCAAGTGGTAACAAAAAAACTAAACCATTTCATTCCCATCCTATATAACACAACAAATGTGGAAAAGTCAAATTAGGATGGTTTTGCTTGTTTTGTGGCTATCTCTGAACAGCACAACAGAGAAAGTAATATGATGAGGTAATGCTTTAAAGCAAAAGGAGAGTGAGAAGGAAAAAGAAAAACTCTTCTGCTTCAAATAATGGAAAATCAACTCAAGAATAAGTAAGCTGTAGTATGATTGATAGTCTATTTGTTTCTTTTTAAAGAGGCTAAAATTATTACAACATTCAAGAGACAATCCTGCTCATCACTCCTCAGCCTGCATCAAGATTTAAGAATTCCTGCCAAATCTTTTGGAAATTGATACTCTTTTGAATCTAAATATAGCACACTATTTGATGGGACAGTATATTTAGAATATACTGCCTACATTCTTTGAGACTTTGGAATTCATGTATTCTTTCAGTTCTACAATTTTATATTCTGAGGTGTATGTATGACATACTTAAACCAAACCCAACATTCCTTCATATTCTAGCCAGCTAGCTTGTTTTATCTCAGGGTCAGCTTGCTTTCTACAGTATAGGCTACTTTTAAGATTATATTAATCCTGGGATATTTTACAGTAAGATTGAGATTATATTCTTTCCCTCCTCCTTCTCACACTTCTATGCATCCTTTTTGCTTCCACACATTAAATAACCGCAATGCTATTATTTTGTTTCATTTTCCCAAAAGCACAATTATTTTAATTACCTTACATATCTTAGGAACATCCAGTGATTTGATAATTCTGCTGAACTCCCGAAGTCCAAGTTCTTCCAGTTGAAAAATGGCCAAATAACAAACAACTATCAGAAGACAAATACATAAAGACCAATGTCATTTCAGATAATGGATCCATTGTATTTTGAAAAAGTTTTTAAAATACCATGTCATTACTCTGCATGACACTTTTGTGTATGTTACAGTCAAGTCTAATTGGACAGAATAGCTTTCTACTATGAATAATTTATTACATATTACCATAATAATTCATTCCTAAGTCTTCACACACATTCATAAATAAAATAATTATTCTTAGGAAGCCTCTATCAGCTTTGCACATTTGGATCTTGCAATCGGTCCATCATTTTTGGCAAAACTGCTACAAAGTTGTTAGTCCTGAGTACATGTTATGCACTAGAATAATCAACTATTGTAGTACACCCACTTCTTTTAGAGTGATACATTTTATATATACTAAAGAAATATGAGTTGCAACCTCACATGGGATTGACCTAACTTTATACTGGGGTCACTACAAACTTCTGAGAGAACTTAGCAAACAGAAAGGAGGTGAGGGAGGAGGAGAAGAGGCCAGGAGTTTCTTCCTGGAACCTTGCTGCCGTTGCTTGCCTTAGAGAGAGAAAAGAGAGCGGGGAAAGGAGGAAGGGAGGGTTTCATTGGAGACCCAAGCTTTGAGACCTCTGGAGCAGAGAGAGGAAGCACCCCTCTCACTTGTGAGCGTATCTGGGTTTTCCCTTCTCATCTTATGAGTATTGTGTGGGTTTCTCCTTCCCGTCCTGT